TCTGAGGGGCGGTGGGGTAGCCTAGTGGTTAAAGCGTTCGCTCGTCACGCCGAAGACCCGGGTTCGATTCCCCACATGGGTACTATGTGTGAAGCCCATTTCTGGTGTTCCCCCGCCGTGATATTGCTGGAATATTGCTAAAAGCGGCGTGAAACAGTACTCACTCACTCACTATTGCCTGAGACACATGATTATCCATTTTTATCGTTGATCAACCTATGCACATGCTATGCACATATCTATTTGAACAGTGTTTGTAGTCTTATGTTACAGATACTGAAACAAGATGATCATATGTTTCCTTCAGTTTGAAACAGTTTTACATTTGCAATTACCTTTGCCATCATTGCTAAATTACACAATAGTTTTTATTACAATTCAGTTTTCGATTTGTATGTAGATTTAAAGGTCTGGAAAATGTTGATTCAGATCATTCTTGCGCCACATCATTTGTAATATCATTACATTAACACCTTGTACATATATACCTCAAAGGTTTCCTGTCCTTCCATTCCCACTGGTTGTTACGGCACATATTGAGAACAGACATCACACAAGTACATCACATGGACAAATAATCAGGTAACGTCACACGCTATGGAGTAAAACACACACATACCCTTGATACATTCCAAGAAAACAGGTTCTTGTCAAATACCATTATGATTATGAATGTGTTTCCGACACATTCTGTCCATGATAAATGGAATAATAGACACGATGAGTTCATCTAAATAGCAGCTTCACCCCAATATCACCATGTGAAATATGGAGTTTCACATACATCTAGTGTACATATTAACATTGGGAAAACTCACAAAGTTTTAATATATTTATGACAGTGTATATTATTGAAAAATGGAAATGTACAGACTAACTGACCACGTCCCACAATCTTCAATCTGCCAATGGTCACATTGATCACGAACGTACGAGACCTGTATCGTGTCTTGTGTCGGCAGATAAAGATAAGCTAATCTAATGTACTGTGAATTTCACCCATCAACACCGCTGTCTTCAATACGTTTATCAATATTAATATAATTCCGTCAAGATAGAGTAACTTAAAGGGACATTGCTCCAGAGCGATTCCTGTTTCACTCCAACAATATAATCACGACGTCTTGCTGCCAGGTGGTTCCTCGACCGTGACGGACACAGGAACTGGGCAACTGTCCACCTTGGCAGAATTTCTTTAACCTAAACAATGAGACAATAAGAACGGTGCCCATGAGATGACATTATTTGAAAACATCCCTTGTAGTTCTAGTCTTATTGTAATAAAGTATCCCAGCAGTGTAAACATTTTCGGATTTTCTGATGCGTGGATGGTATGATGACTGATCCAGTTTGACTATATTTCTGTGGTATTCACCTCGATATGTAATCATGTCATGTAACAACGTGATGTCTATTTCCTTGGATATTAAATACACACATTTGATTTGTTAAAATCCGTAATAGACGTCATTTTATGACATTGCTAGAAATGTCTAATAATTTACTTACGTATATATCCTAAAGTTTGAAATTTTAGTACACAGCATTTGCTTATGAGTATTTCCTATGCAACAACGAAGTTCATATCCTCAAAACAGTGTCGACACCATAGGTTTTGGAGGGAATATAAATTGCATGTAATACTGCGATTACTACTCCCTTGTAGCCCATGTTTGGTGGTATAATCCTGCACCTATTTATTTGTCATCATTCACTTGATGGTCAGTTAATGTATTTATAACGGGGGGATCTCGTTTTGCCGGATGCTTTTGTTCTAGATAAAAAAGCACTGATGCGCGATAATCCCTCAAACAATAGAGGATTAACTTATAGTCTGTTTCGGCGTAACAAACTATAGACTATAACTTCATCTCGATTTTTTTATTTCAGCAATTCAACGTTTTTGGTATATTTTCTCTTCATGATGAAATTCATAAATACACATTTTGTACATTTTCAGAAAATGAGAAAATGGTAACTGAAGAAATAAATATACATAAATATGTTTTTCATAAATATGCATAAATATACATAATTATTCCAACACAGGGACACCAACCACTTCTGGGATAAGATCCTAAGATTTGATAGAATAAAGAAGGACACATACTCAAAGTATCATCACAATAATAAACATCAGCAGCAGCAAGGTGGCGAAGGTTTTTTTCCGTAGCAAATATCATGATCTTGTTGTGGTCAGTAGCATGGAGCAGGAAGTCTGCGTTGGAAGCAGTCTTGGTGAAGGCGTCTTGGAGATCGATGTCGTCGCGCCGGCGTGGCAGGTTTGGCATTCCTTGTCTCGGGATCGGTACAGGCTGGAATGAGTACCGTAGAAAGTCGGCACTGTAGGCACTGCTTCAGGAACATCTCTCCGCAGTTCTGAAAACAAAAACATAAGATATATTACAAATGCAGAATATAAAATTATAACCTATGGCATCTCACTGACTTGATATTCCATTTACAAAATCCATTGCATATTTCAATATCTTAATTGTATGGTACGGTATTTAGGTCATGTCTAGAATGTTGAACGTTTTCTTCATTGTAAATAGTCTGAACTGGTCTGGAATCACTCCGGACTTTGGTCTTCAACGTGGCAAGAAAGGTGTCAATGAGAAGCTGAACTTCATCTTGATGATGTTTATGTATGTTCCTGAAACTGCTGAGATAACGGAGAACATCGGTGTTGGCGGTTGCAGGACAACCTGTCCTACAACCTTTCCAATGAACTCGGTCCCTGCTAGTGCTCTTAACCCTAAACTTGTAACCTAGATAGATTAAGTGTCTACCTCCCCTTGAATTTGGATTTAACTGAATGTTAACTTGTGTGTTTGATATTTTGCAATGAGGGAACCATGTCTACCTTCTTTATATACAGGAATTGGTGCCTTGTAACTCTTAGTCCGTTATCATCACATCAGCTGTCCGGCAAAGTGTTGTATGAACTTTATAACAGGTGTAATTAATGGTGTATGACCTTTATAAGAGGTGTAATTAGTGGTAACACCACCCAGTTTACCCGACAAAGGTTCCCATTTAGCATTCTTTTTTCTGGAGTAAATACTGCACATTCTTCATTAAGATCTGATGTGGTAATTGTATTACATGTTATGTAATATGCACATGGATATGTAGCAAGAGGAATTATCAGCGGAGTTAAAAAGAAATACATCGATCAAAGGATTAACATATAACATGCTGATTATTGGCGGTTTTTAGGATAAGTACAGATTCTAGTAATTTTGTTGGTTTGAGTTCCAACCGGGATTCGAACTCACACCCTCAGAGTCAGGCACTTAATCGCCAGCACACAAGGTCAGCCGCCTAACCCGCTCAGCCACCACGGATTCCACTTTGTTTGATTAGGCTTAGGCGTGTTGTAAATTCACTAAAACAGATCCTGTACTTTTTATGAAGTTCCAAAATGCATACAAATAATGAATTCATTAGGACTATAAGACAAAAATATAAAGACGTACATTGACATCGGGATTTTTCAGTCCTAAAATTTGGTATCACTGGCAGATAAAGTGTTCAATTTGTGTTCATTTATTATAATAATGAGGACGGACATATTAATGAGTAAAAAGATTTAAACTTTATTGATCAATGTAAGGATATACATATAATACTTGTACTACCAACTTATACAACCGCTTGCGGGTTGGCGCAGCAGAGATCACAACCCAGTCAAAAATTCTGGGATATCATCCGGGTAGTCGCGGGGGAAAACAAGAACAAAAGCAACAACCAGTTGGATCAGTGTCCCTTTAAGTGTGCAGTAGGCACCTTATCGCCAGTCGAATTAGGCAATAGGATTTAGATAAAGCAACTGAAGTTCACAACAACAATAACTATATCGTCAGTTTTATGAGTAAATGCGTTTATCTATAATAGCTGGCATAGGTATAAAATAGGGACGGTACACATTCACAAATCATTCCGTGACTGTGTAACAAACTGTTCGTTTATTTACTCAGGTAAGAAACTTTTCTTTCTTCTACTTTGTTAAAATTTTAATGCTATTTGGTCGTAAGTGTGATCTATCGTACCTTAAGTATATTTTACAACCCTTGGCAATACCTTCAGGTTTTGTGTGGAACGTAGTCAGGTAGTCTGTACATTTCCAGTTTTCAATAATATATACTGTCATAAATATATTAAAACTTTGTGAGCTTCCCAACATGTTAATATACAGTCATGGTTAACGTTGCCAATACTTAGTCGAAGTCCTTCAAGGCATTTAGAAGTGGGTGTAGTAATGTAAGACAAATCTTATGGATAACAACTTCTATATTTGTTTCTCACGACGTTTCTTGGCTGGTTCTTGCCTCTCCTTTTTAGGTTGATAATGAAAAGGGACAACAATCAGCCCAGAAACGTCGCGATAAACAAATATAGAAGTTGTTATCCATAAGATTTGTCTTACATTAATCAAAGTAGACTTGAATATCTGAATTTGGCGTGCGTGCGTGCGTGTGCGCGCGCGTGTGTGTGTGTGTGTGTGCGACTTACTTTGTACATGCATTTTTTTAGGGGGGGGGCAATTCACATTGTACATGCTTCTCCGTAAAAATCATCATCACACACACACGCACGCACGCGCGCACGCACGCACACACACACCTCCCGCCATAAATTATGACATATCCATTACGTCATCTCACGCACGTGGGCTCTGTCCGTTATGTGTCTCGTGATGACCCCTTTGAATTATTGTAATATGGAATAAAAATTAAATGCAAATTTCGAAAATAATCCCCAAAACATCTTTTAGACGAAAACGCTTTGTAAACGATTTGCTCAAATCGACGCTCATACTAAACATACACAGCTGCACTATTGACAGCATAGGTGTCGGCCTGGCATCGATGCAGGGTCATATCTTGACTGTACAGGACCGCATCGCGCTTCTCGGCTGGTGTCGGCCTTTGGAGAAAGATCTGGGTCATGGAGACGAGAGTTATGTCCCTTATCTGACGAAGCAGCGTTTCCATTTCCCTCAGGTATTCAACAGTCAATAGCGAACGGACGATATGCTGCAGTGGTCAGGACGTGTAGCTCTAGTAACAGGGGCTTCGGTCGGTATCGGGGCGGGGCTGGTCAAGGCACTGGTCAAGCATGGCATGAAGGTGGTGGGGTGTGCAAGAAATATCGACAAAATACAGGTGAGATATGACATAGTTAGATCTGGTAAGGTTATATTAACCCTTGTGGGAAAAGTTAACTGTAGCCCGTAGATCGTCACGTCAGTGGTATAATATAAGTCTCTACGGTTAGATCATTGTTTTAATAATATCTATCTATAGAAAAAAAATATTGTATATTACAAATTAAATTCTGGCATAACTAAATGATATATTTGTTTCCTATTTCAGTAAAAAATATATTGATCTAATCTTCAACAATGTTTTTGCAAAATAATTCGCAAATCTTATAAAAATCATTCTGTATGGTTCCAGAAACGTTCCAGCGATGTCTTCTCAGAATATTTGGATTTAATTTAATTCTAAAGAGTACAAAAGCTTAACTACATTAGTTGGTATTTTGCTCCCCGTATTAAAACAAAACCGTAACTGTTAACAATATACATGATATGTCCATGTGAAATATCCAGGCTCTGATTTTTTTCGTTCAATTTCTTTTCTTTTTATGTTTCTATCTTTTTTATTATATATTTATAAAAAAAATTATGTATGTGTGTGTATGTGTGTGTGTGTGTGTGTATTAAAAAAATACACAGTGTAAGCAACACACATAAATGTAACATTTGAAAGAAATCTTGTGTGAATGTTAGGCAAAAGGAACCCAAAACTAGATGATCCATATTCTGTGTTAATTGGCGAGAATGTGTGTGTAATTTACTTCTGAGAATACTTTGTAATACCCAACTAATAGCCTACAGTTAACATATTACATTTCATTATTTTTCATTACATTTACATTATTTGATTCCCCCATTTTCGCGGAATAACAGAAATTGATGCAAACTTTCCCACCGACTTAAATGAGTGAAAGTTATGGTAACCGTAAAACAAACAAGTTGAAGATCATATTGATATCTATCTAGATTGTCAACAGTCATTACATTACCTTTGTGTCTTTATCAGTTGTTCAAATTAGATTTAACCACTAATATGAAAGCATCGTTTTACTGTTTGTTAATTAATGAAAAGAATAGAAATTAAAAACTAAAACAGACCAATATTTCAAATTCAAACGTATCTATTGGCGTCATTTGCTGTAAACAATGTGGGGCTACGGCTGAGTAGTTCAGGTAATATCTTAACCTAAGGAGATGTTTCATCTTATATGTATAGCTACACAAATCTGAAATTTCTTTACAGGTCCATTATAGTGACTTTTTCTTCTTCCCCCTGTTAGGGGTACATGATGATGCAGTTTGCGCTTTCTGTGGATATATTAAACATCCTCTTAGCTAATGTTAAAAAAATATAAAAATAACAACGTAGAATTCAAATAAATCGAATAGTGTCATTTGCTGTAAATAACAAGTGTCTTCGTTGTGTTTTTACCCAGACTTTCCTTTCCATAGATAAACGATTATGATAATTGTAATAAATAAGCAGCTGTTAGATTTTGCATCTCATCAAGAAACAGCTCCAATGCTGAATTTACTTGGAATGATACTTGAACCAGATAATATATATGATTCCTTGGAGTTAGTTACTATTATCTTAAATATCATTCATGCAGAAGAAGAACTCTACTGTTTTAAGTTCCAATAGTATATAGGTTAGTCATTTCTGTATTTCCAATGATACCATTTCTCTGTTTTGAGACATGTATTTGGCAGTGCAATGTATCATACTGGGACATCTTGCATGCCATTGGCAATGCCAAGCTTGCTAAGAAAAAGGAATTCAAAATGAACATGTTCAGTGGTGGATACTGCTTGGTGTGAAGATGGAATTGAAAAAAATAATTTGTATGTTGGGAAGAAAAAAAATGCTCAATTTTTAACAGAGCGGAAACGATGCATCGAACTATCGATGGATTGCATTTGTTGAGTCTCCGATAGCAATTAATCGATGGTAGAAACGAAAACGATAGTATCGATAGTTTAGTAATTGACTTCAGTTGACAAATATTGATGTTGTTTTGAATTTTTATTGTTTGGATGCAGACATGCAGCTGTATTGAGTTTATGTTTAACTGTTTACTTGATCGGGGTTTCAAGTTTCAAGTTTTTAAAAGAGACTGAAACTACTTGAACTTGTTATTATTTGATATAAACTATACAGTCATTTGGGAAACGACTTCAAATGAGACAATTCAAGGAGAAAACAATCTATTGCAATAGTGTTGCAATAATTGGTCGCAATAGACTATCGCATCGCAATAGTATGTTGCAATAGGCTAACGCTATTGCGATAGTTGTTTCCCCCTCAATAGTCACCCCTAATTTTAAATGATCCTTAAACTGTTTTAGATTTATTACTAGTTTTAAATTCGAATCTGTGATAATCTAGTTATTTTACTGACCTTCGTTGACAGGTTTTTACAATTTACCATTTTTCGCTACGTATAACATTAATTGTTCTCGTCACGATATGGCTGAAATACTGCCGATGTGACGTTAAATTGTAACTCACTCACTCACTTTAAATGATCCAATTTGCACACGGAGAAGGGGCATTTGCAGGAACATTTGAATCAACAACAAACTGCGTATTTTGCTTAAGATTAAGTTTGATCCGGCTGTAACAAAATGGTTCAGGGTCAGCAATCATGTGTGTACCTCCGACTTAACATCGGCGCATTTTTTACTTTCAGTTCAGTGATTTCAATAATCTCAGCTATATTCAGTTAGTGCAACAAGTAATGTTTGATGCAAGAAAACAATATGTGTGCAACCAGCATGGCTAATACAGCCGTCTACATTCAGCAACAGGGCCTAGATTTTCGAAGCTCTCTTAGCGCTACGATTGTCGTAAGATAATGTTAATGGATGGCGCTTACGACTATCTTAGCGCTAAGAGAGCTTCGAAAATCTAGGCCCTGTTGATTTAACATTGATAAATACATGGAGTGAGTGAGTTTGTTTAGTTTTACGTTGCTTTTAGCAATATTCCAGTAGTTTCACGGCGGGATAAATACATGATACCTGACCTACCGCCTTTTCTTATATTGTATGTAACCTACACCCGTTGGTATTATAAGTATCATTTTACATGAATCGTTTTGTGGAAACATGATGTGGAAACATCATCCACACAAATGAATAACAGTATTTATTGAATTCAATAAAATAAATATGAATAAACATACGTTTTTGGATGAGTGATCACGTTTTAAACGAAGTGCTAAAAATGTAAATACATGTAGGTGAGACCATTTCAGTAAGTAGAGATGTCAGAAAAGGGATTTGATGACCATGCATCTCACGCTTTAGTTGACCGGATCCTGATACATATTCATTTCCGATACTCCAAGAATTACCTGTCTGATGAAGCCTACAGTGTAAGCGATATTTTCCATTTTATTTCATGTGTAAGAATGTTACATTATCGACTGAAATAAAGGACATTCTCTACTGAATTGAATAAAAAGAATAATAAAACAGTACATTTTCAGTAAACTATTACTTTTCATTTGAAGTGCAGAATGTGAAAGTTTGAAGCGAGACCAGAGAAAGAGATTGACGAACATTAATGATAACGAGAGGAATTGGAAAGTTAGATTTCAGAAGACATTAAAGATGTTATATGTATCTCCAGAAGTAAAACAAATTGGTATAAAGAAGGTGAAAAACAAATTTCTTTTCAAATATTGAGACGAGGCATTCTAAAAATGGACACCTATGTTTAGAGCATACTAAATGTCAAAGCACTTGAACTCATGCATCTTATATGTTTACCTATCATGGTTAAGGGCAAGACTGTTTTCTATGAAACTATATAATGGGGTGTCACAAGGGTGAAATCTTGTTGTAGTTTTCCCATCATTGACATTGAAACTCAGATGCTTCCAGACCTATGAAGATCGGGGTTAGACTTGTCTTCAGTATCCCATGCTTATATTCAGCATCTTGATAAGTAAGTAAATAAATAGAACGTAAATAAACATACGCACATGTAACCAGGGATTTATATGAATGTTGTCATATCCCAATTGCTTATATCGATGATCATGATGTTGATCACTGGACTGTCTGGTCGAGACTAGGTTATTTGCAGATCACTGCCATTTAGCTGTAATATGGCCGAGTGCAGTGTTCAACAAACAAACAAACAAACGAAATAGAAGCTTCTATTATTCAGCATTAGCTGACTGCAGAAACTGTCAGCTATCAGTCAAATGCAATGTTTACTGAGCTAATCACCCATGGGGTATTGTAAACCATAGTTGCCTCAGTGGGCTGTGTTTGATAAATGACTTTCACTCGACAACAGGTTGCTCGTTATTCTGTCCAGTGACAGTCACAATTCTCAGCTAACTCACACTTGCCACTGTAGCACTGGACTGATATTTAGTCTAAAAATATCTTATTTCCAAAATATGTATCTATAAATATTAAATACGATTGGAGTACCGATGATGCTTTATTACTAGAGCTGAAGAGATGCACCCCGACCACTTTGCGGAAAGGACAAAAGTTTCTCATGATGCACAAGATTCAGCGCTGAAGTTAACTGCGTATGATTAACAGAAATTACAGTTTCAATTTTAGGCGCTAGTGACACAGGTTGATGATGGATACCTCTCTCCAAATGACAGATGTTAAGTAGAACAGTATAGATAAATAGAAATAGTTGAGAGAATTATTCACTGACACTGAATATTTGCTAGATATGCAGATTCTTCATGTTATTCAATTATTTATGCGTATATTTCACATTTCTGATACATTAAAGGGGAAATTAAGTTCGGTTGATTGAAAAGGAAATTGATGTTAAGTTGACTGCATGGTAAGAAAAATTTAGGTAGTTTTGTTTAGTTTCCACTACATATCTACGCAGTTTATCCATTTCTCAGCATCATACTTTTTCTCAGATACCAAACTAATCAGCATACGTAACTTATGTTATATGTGGGATTACACTTTCTTAGTAAAGTACAGATTCTAGTACTTTTGGGGTTGAGTCCCATCCGGGATTCGAACCCACACTCTCAGAGTCAGGCACCTAATCGCCAGCACACAACGTCAGACGCCTGGACCGCTCAGCCACCGCGGCTCCCACAAAAAAGGAAGTCGGACAACTGGTAGTCTAGACTGCGAACTTCGTGTACCTCCAGTCTGTATCCCGAGTTGGCGCCCTTCAAAACTCGAACGACTGATAATGCGGTTTCGCCTAACTCTTATGCTAGATATGTCTATGATTAAGACTCATGTTAAACCCATGGTATCGAAACCATTTCACCAATCTATAGTTGATATGGATGAGCTGGAATGATAAAAGGTTTTGCGAATGTGGGCAATGGATCTATGAGACTGATGCATGATGACATCAGTCAAACTACACATCATTTTCTCCTTGTCAGACTCTAACAGCTGAACTGAAGGGTCAACCTGGCATGGTCAAGGCAGTGCGCTGTGATGTATCCAAGGAAGAAGATGTCTTGGCGATGTTCCAGACGATCAAGGCTGACCCTGATCTTGGCGGAGTGGACGTATGCATCAACAACGCTGGTCTGGCCCATAACGACCCCCTGTTGACAGGCAGCATCCCCGAGTGGAGGGAAATGGTGAATGTAGGTTTTCCGTTGGACATGTTCTTTGTTTAAACAACAGACAGAGATATTTTGATTTCAAACGTAATAGTTACTGAGATGTCTTGTGAGACAACAGTTCAGCATAAACCTTTGACTTGGGATTTGGCCCATACTAGCATACTTCAACAGACTTGAGGACTTGAGGATTTGATCATCTGGTAGAAATGTCTGTCAATGCGTCTCATATGAAATGGGATGGGAGTAAATGGCAGATAAACACAACTATTTTGTAGAGTGGTGTGCCTTTGATGCTTTGCAGATAGATGTTCCTTTGATGTAATATACCACAGTGCTGATTTGTATAAATCTTATTGGGGCTACAATTAGAGTAAGGCAAGGCACAGGTTTGAATCCCTGATCACTATGTGCATGTTTTGTCATGTCATACCTGGGTTTCCAGGTAGTGTATTCTGCTGCAGGTGAATATCCTTGGCCTATGCATGTGCACCAGAGAGGCCTTCAAGTCCATGCAGGAGAGGAAGGTGGATGATGGGCATATCATCCTGCTCAACAGGTACATTAGACAATATCAAAGTATTATCACCGAAAAATAGATAATACCATTAAAGCTTATTCAGATATTAATGATTCACCATTCTTTATTTTTAATGTGAACCAAATGCTGTTCAGTCCTGCTGTTTAATGTTTGATAGGGGTGCAGATTCTGTTTCATCCGATTCACGTACATTGCATTGACGTGACTTTGGTCTATCACTGAATACATCCTTAAAAGTTTCACCACCTGTTATAATTTTCCGTTTTAGATTCATGCTTATGGTAAAGGATTCAGTCAAAGGTCTTGGTAAAAGTTCCATGGTATTCTAACCTTTTGGTTATTGTAGCAGAATGTTTCAACCAGCTATACCATTGCAATTGCGGTGACTTTTGGTTTGTTTCATGATTGTAGCATGTCTGGTCATCGAGTTATAGGGAACAGTGCTTTTCACTTCTATTCTGCTACAAAGTTTGCTGTGACAGGAATAGTTGAAGGACTCCGACAAGAGTTGAGAGAGTTGAAAAGCGGGATCCGTGTAACGGTAATGAGATATCTTATGAATAGCTCATCTTCTCCCAATGAACTTTTCCGCAGAAACTTCCTGAATTGAGAGATCATAAGTCTGTTTCTGGTCGGACAGGAAACCTACAATAAAATTACATAACAGACCATCTATATGTTTTTTGGGGGAAAGATGACGTCAAACTAACTCTCCATGATTAGTTTCACTCTGTGAAAATATTTTACATATGTAAATTGTGTTTGGTCCATGCTGTGTAACTAGAGGTTACATGAGATTAATGCTAATGGTAAGTGAAAGATTTACAGAAATAGTGACAGCATGGTTTGATAGGTAGACCTGTGCCTGGAGAGTGTTCGATGGGTTGATCATCTGACCATTCCATGCCATGTTACAAGACAATATATTACTTGACCTGCAGTTACCCTGCCTGGCTGGCTTGGGTTCAGTACAGTATATCTATGTAGGAATTGTGTTGAGACAAGAGTGTTCAGTAGCCTTTATCAAACCCTCAGTTTTTCTCTTGTGTTAGATACCAAGTTGAGGATTGCTATAAGCCTACAAAGCTCCATTCAGTTACTGGTGACTGTAGAGACACTACATCTTGCCATTTCAAACCTCTGATTTTACACAAGCAGCCTACACTTACAAAGGACTGGGCTCCGTTTCACAAAGCTATCGTAGCGCTACAAAGCTATCGTAACTCCTATACTGTAACAATGACTTACAACAGTCGTAGCGCTACGATAGCTATGTGAAACGGGGCACTGGTCGTTCAGAAGATGAAAAAAAACAATTGAGATATTGTCCCCAACAGACAAACAAAATGGCAGATTTTCCAAGTAAAGATACTTATTATTGTCTCAATCTCTCCGACAACAATAGGGGTATGCATACCACAGCGCTTCACGTAACAATGCACATTGTGGTAAAGGAAACGCTCAGCAGGGGTTGTTTTGAAATTACGTTGTATCTCAGTGCGATAACTGTTCCGTGATTCTTGTTAAAACTAATGAAATTTGCACTCAAATATAGAAAAGTACTTGTGCAAGTTTTGAACCCAATCCAGAATATTCATCTTCACGTAATTTGGGGGATAATTCAACTCAATTTCAACCAGCACTGGGTGTGGTCACAGCAGCAACCACTTTTCTTCACAACGATGTTGGATTTGAAAAACAAGATTTATGGATGTCAACTTCTTTATTGTGAATAACCCCCTGTCGTGTTATTCACAATAAAGAAGTTGGCATCCATAAATCTTGCTTTTCTTATGTATTCCACTTCAAAATGCTCTTCAAAGATATGATGTTGGATTTGTAAGATGTTCTTGAAAATACGACAGTCCTCTGACATTTAAGATGAGAATGGTAGGCAAACTGGAAACCAGACTTTGATACAGGTTGGAGGAAGCTGCTGAGTGTTACATCAGTACATGTAGAGCGTGTGTTCTGTTTTCCAGTCAATAAGTCCAGGTCTGGTGGAGACAGAGTTCAGCTATCGAATGATGAAGGACGATGGAGAAGCTAAGGCGATTTACAGCTCAATTCCGGTTAGTGTCTTGTACAGTATAATTGTGGTCTCCATATTGTTTAGATGAATCCAATCTGATGAGGACAGTATATATAACACAAAACTGATTCTACCTGGATAAATCAGCTGTCCTTTCAAAGTGTAACACTGAAGTAAAATGTCCTTGAAAATCCTATTGCAAATATGTTGCGAATATCAATTCTCCTAGAGAAATGTCATAAGTCTCATAGAAATATTTAAATGTCCGAGTTAAAGTGCAGAAATCAAGCACTCTGTAATCAGGTTTGAAACCAATACTTTATGAACTTAGCTCCTTTTGGGATGTAGAAACACCTGTTACCTCACCTGTGTCATAACAATCGCATCCCTCCCAGCCATGACTGGGATATCACATGGTACTGCATTGAACTCCGAACTAAATATAAAATTGTGTTAGTGTTTTGTTTAAAGTTGCACTGCATTAGCAACTGTTTTCCAAACCTTACTTTGGCATGCCGTATGATTATTAAACATAATATGTGTAATGCTATAAATTTTAACAAGGGATCATACTGATGTAATTATGTAAATGTTTGTGAGATCAGCTGTAGGTGGTTTGCTGGTATGTCATCTTTAGGGATGTACCATTATGTGTGTTGAGCTTCCAGAGAAAGGCAAGGACTTTGATCTAAACACACATCGTCTGCTTCACATCCAGTAACTCCAACATCATATCTTCCAGTGTCTGCAGGTGGATGACATCACGAACACTGTGATATTTTCCTTACAGTCTCCAAAGCACATGGAGGTGAGTCACTCGGATGTCTTGTAGCATGGATGACACCCATTACTCCATTGCTCAGTATAATGTCTTGTGTAGGTCTGTGCACAAAATACGTTGTTTTCGCTACCCTGTCCTAACCTCTTTCAAGGTTGCATAAGGAAACATGTCCGACTTTCACTTCCCCAGGCTTGTAATCGTTTCTCTGATATGTTGCATATCCGGCGATATCTTGGTTTTGCGACAAGCTAAGATGTGATTTATATGAGCTTGGTTTTTTTCCAGAATTGTAAATATAACTTTGGTTTAGTTCTGGTGAGCTGTAGAGCTCATGGTTGTGTAAGTCACCATATGCCTCTTGTCTGAAATTATTCATATCAATGTGTGATGTTTGCTTTTCCAGATAAATGATGTCCTTATGAGACCTACAGCCCAAGCCTGGTGATTTAGAAGAGAACTCAGTCAGCAAGATATTTCAATGCTGTGGTTTTGGTGTACTACATGTCAACATATAATCAGATTAGTGAAAGTAGTATTACAATATCACGCAGACTTGCAAACTACCAAAGATGTACCTGTTATCATGGAATGGTGCTAAATCGTGTTAGCCCTGAAACGTTGTTGACATTGTCTTGGATGTTTCTGTTGTATATATGCATGTAGTTTAGTACGCTGACACCAAATATTGAGAAAGTTTTAAAGGTTAAAATATAAATTTAAGCATTTGGATCACTGCTGACTCAGAAAACATTTTGTTTTCAGTTGTAACTCTATCCTGCTTTAATCCCAATAAAATCTGACCTTAGAGCTTGGTTGCCAATGATTTTGTGTTTATTTGAATATTGTTAAACTCAGCAATCTTCAAGCTATATCACGGCGATCTGCAAATAATCAAGTTTATATTTTTGTATTTCAATTTTTATACATACAAAATACATATACAGTCAGTCAGTTCAAAAAGTTATTTTTCACGAAATCCAGCCGTGATAATTAGGCCCCTAATCACGAGTAAGACTGGGAAGCAAATGGAGATGAGACATCACTGAACAGATGCAAGTACCAGCAATTGCCAGCCCTAAAGACAAAGCCAGCAATGACCAACCCTGGTGGAAGTCAGCGCTATATAAATACACTTATTATTATTATTATTATTATATAAGCGTGTGCAGGCAAAAGGCCTGCAGATAAGATTAGGTTAGACTTGAGCCAGCGCTAGGAGAAGTTCTGGCCTGCGCTTAGAAGTGTAGACTGAATAAACAGTTGTAGACCCTCAGAAGGACTAGTGTTGTTCATGACAAGACGTCATTTGGAGTAACAAGACGTTCTTCTCTAACTAATGGATTTCGTAAATTACTGGCCAAAATGTAATTTGCCAAGCGTTCCGCTGGTCAGTTGCTATTGTTCATTACCCTGAACAGGACTGTTTTAGTGGGCTAAGCAGACCGGCAAACAGACAGACAGATTTTGTATTTCAGTCTCATCTCTCTCTCACACACACATGATGATGATGTTCGTCCTTCGCAGGCGAAAATGACCACGACTTCATGTCACTGGGGTGTGGGGTGTGTGCGAAGGTGGCTTATTAGACCGATCTTTGCTCGGAAGGGTCTGTTGCAGTGAGGACATGATAAGTGCGGGGCTGAACCAGGTTGGGAGGTGGAATTGACATTGTCTTTTTTTTTCTGCCACTTTTGTACTTTGTCACTGATGCGTCTCTGTTCGGAAGCTGCGACGCCAGTCTTAACGGCAGATCGCCAAGCAGATCGGTCCTCAGCAGTCTCTTCTCAGGTTGAGTGAGGAATGTCAAACTGATTGAGGGACGTCTTCAGATTGTCTTTGAAGCGTAGCTTTGGTCGACCAGGGGGACACTTGCCGGAGGACAGTTCTCCGTAGAGAAGCCTTTTGGGGAGACGACGGTCGTCTATTCGGTGTACGTGGCCGGCCATCGGAGCTGAGAGCGCATCAGGACGGCGTAGATGCTCTCAATCTCAGCCCGCTGGAGTACTTCGGTGTCTGGCGCTCTGTCCTGCCACTTTACACGGAGCAGGGTCCTGAGACATCTCATGTGGAGAGCGTTCAGTTGTCTGGCGTGTCGGGAGTACACTGTCCATGTCTCGCAGGCGTAGAGCAGGGATGGAAGGACTGCAGCTTTGTAAACTTTGAGCTTTGTGTCAAGGCTCAATCCTCTTCGCTCCCAAACCCTGTCCTTCAGTCTGCCGACAGAGTGCTGCCCAGGTACACGAACTTGTCAGCCACTGCAAGTTTCTGGCCGTTGACGGTGATGTGGGGCTCTGTGTATGGAGCTGATAGGGCTGGCTGGTGCATGACTTCAGTCTTCTTGGTGGAAATTGTGAGGCCAATGTCGACGCAGGCTTAGGAGCAGAGGTCCATACTTCCCTGCATGTCTGACTGAGTGGAGGCATTTAGCGCACAGCCGTCTGCAAAAAAGGAAGTCCCGGGCGGTGTCTTCATGGACTTTCGTCTTGGCCAGCAATCTCGGATGGCTGAAGAGTTGGCCGTCGGTACGGTGCCGAAAGCCAACCCCGATGTCTCCATCTCGGAAGGCGTCAGTCAGCATCGCGGTGAACATCATGCTGAACACGGAGGGGGCCAGCACACAGCCCTGCTTTACCCCGTTGGTGACAGGGAATGGCTGGGAGTATACGCTCTCGTCCTGCACTCTTGCGTACATGCCATCGTGGAACTGTCGGACCATGGCGATGAACTTGTCAGGGCAGCCGAACTTGGCCATGTTCTTCCACAGCAGAGTGTCGAAGGCTTTAGTCAGATCCACGAAGGTGGCGTACAGTCCGACGTTCTGCTCCCGACACTTCCAGGTGAGCGTTGAGGCGGTTGAGCAGAACTCGAGCCAAGATCCTCCCAGCGATGGAGAGCAGAGAGATGCCGCGGTGGTTTCGCATGCGTCTCTGTTCCCTTTGGGCTTGTAGAGGTGGATGATGGACGTGTCTTTGAGTTCCTGTGGCAACTTTGCTTGGGACCAGATGGAATTGAACAGGCTTGGGGGATTCTCAATCACTTTTGTGCCACCATAAGTGTAGATTTCAGCGGGGATGGAGTCGGCACCAGGCTCCTTGCCGGTTGATACACGCTTGATGGCATTTGCGACGTCTTCAAAGGGGGTTCTGCCAACGTGTCGTCAACTGGGACTTGTGGCATCCTGTCGATGGCTTCGTCGTTGATACAAAGGGCAATACAACAGAACATGTCTTTCATCCTCAACAACCTCGCTACAGTGAAAATATACCCTCTCATTCACATTCTCATTTGTATATCTGCTGGTTTCCAAATGCAGTACCTGATCTGAATTTGGAGAGGGCATAGCGGTATGAAAGGGGCATACTCATACTCACGTAACATTCCATACGTTCGTTGTTTATTAGCTCCCGTTCTGCCGCTTTGCTTGCGTAATAACTCCTACCAACCACTCACATAGTACTCCATACAAAATATCTCTGCGCCCCTGTGTTGCATTCAACAGCACTAATTACGTCAGCAACAATTCTTTCCCGATTAATATATACGTAATGTTATAAAAAAAGATATGCTATGTAACAGTAGTTACACGCGTAATACGCTACGTCATCGAACGCTTTATGACGTCACGGTAGAAGATGTCTTTTACTCAATGTTTTTGGCGACACCTGTAATCTTCGAACCTGTCACATGAACGTAAACATTCCGTGGGATTAATTGAATCTTTCATCGAAATGTAAGAAAAAAAGGGAACGAACGATGTGAAACGTTTAACAGTTGGAGGGATCGCATTTTGGAGTTCGATGGGAAAACTGTTGATCTCTGTGAAGCAAGATTTTTAGGACGGTTTGGTTAGAAATAATGACTAACTGTTTTCCGTATCAACCCGACCCACCCTTATCTACACCGTGAACATCTCACGCACGTGGCCTCTGACAGATATGTGTCTTGTGATGACACCTTTGTTTTATTGAAATATGAACAAAATGAAAAGCAAATTTCGAAAAATAATCACCTAAAACATCTTGTAGACAAAAACGCTTTGAAAACGATTTGCTCAAATCGACGCTCATACTAAACATACACAGCTGCACTACTGACAGCATAGGTGTCGGCCTGGCATCGATGCAGGGTCATGTCTTGACTGTATGGGACCGCATCGCGGCTTTCGGCTGGTGTCGGCCACGAGGAGAAAGAGCTAGGTCATGGAGACGAGAGTTACGTCCCTTATTTGACGAAGCGGCGTTTCAACTTCCATCAGGTATTCAACAGTCAATAGCGATAGCGCGACATGGAGCGGTGGTCGGGACGTGTAGCTCTAGTGACAGGGGCCTCGGCCGGTATCGGGGCGGGGGCTGGTCAAGGCACTGGTCAAGCATGGCATGAAGGTGGTGGGGTGTGCAAGAAATGTCGAAAAAATACAGGTGAGATGTAAAATCAGTTAGAGCTGGTAGTGGTAACCCTGGTGTGAAAAGTTTACTGTAGCCCGTAGATAGTCACGTGAGTGATATAATGTAAATCTCCACGGTTACATCGTTGTTTTAATTATATCGGTTTATATAACAAAATATTTTTATAAATGTTATCACGAAAGAAATTTTCAATTATTTGTAATGTTTTTTCAAAATATTTTCGCGGATCTATTTCACGTGAAGTTGTATAGTTCCAGAAACGTTCTAGCGATGTCTTCTCAGAATATTTGGCTTTAAGTTAATTCTAAAGAATAGAAAAACTTAACAACTTTAGTTGGTGTTTTGTGTTAAAACGCAAAAACGTAACTTTTAACAATATACGTGATATGTCCATGAGAAATATTCAGGCTCTGTTGCTCTTTTGGCTTGTACTGCAAGAAACCAAATAGCAGACATGTAATCAACACGTATCATCAACTTTCAGTCGTGTGACTGTTTAACAAATGTGATATTTATATGATCTGGGGGAAAACTTGTACATTTTTCAAAATAATTTATTGTCAGAATATTCATCCTCTTTAGCTTTGCCTTTATCCATATTTCTGGAACATAAACAAAACTGATAACTCTGAATCAAGTACTTAAAATATATAGTGCACATACATATATTCAAACTAAGAGGGGGCGGTGGGATAGCCTATTGGTTAAAGCGTTGGCTCGTCACGCCGAAGACCTGGGTTCGAATCCCCACATGAGTACAATGTGTGAAGCCCATTTCTGGTGTCCCCCGCCGTAATGTTGCTGGAATATTGCTAAAAGCGGCGTAAAACCAAAACTCAGTCAGTCAATCAGTCAAACTAAGAGACACGAATCACTTGATGAAGTCTTCTATGATTAATGTATAGACAATTGCTTGATGAAAACAATTAAAAATTACAAAATGTATTCTGCGACATAGCAGAATGCTTGATGTGGTGATGGCATCATGAATTGGTCAGACTGCAGTCACAAATCCAGTTTTACCACAAAAGCCACAAGGCCATTAACGTGTATTGCCCCCTCTCTATTTAATAACTGCAATTATGTTTACATAATTCACTTCCTATGGATTATATGATGTTTTCCTCTATAAACCTATCATTTCCTTGAATGTTTGTGTCACATCTTCACCTTTGCTGCAATGCAGCTATATAGCAATGTTCCACGCTTTAACAAATGATAAGTAGTCATTTCTGTTTTTCCTATGATATTTTATCTCTGTTTTGAGACATATATTTGGCAGTGCAATGTATCACACCGTGACATCATGCATGTCATAGGCAATGCCAAGCTTGCTAAGAAAGAGTATTTCCAAATGGACATGTTCAGTGGTGGATGCTGTTTGGTGTGAAGATGGGATTGAATAAAATAATGTTGT